CCTGATCCACACACACCTCCTCCAGCTGCTCCCCGAGGTGACACCAGGCCAGCTCAGAGACATCGTCCCTCCAGCGTGTCCTGGTCCTTCCACCAGGCCTCCTCCCGATGGGACACCTCCAGAGGGAGGCGGCCAGAAGGCATCAGGAACAGATGGCCGATCCACCTCAGCTGGCTCCTTTGGACGTGGAGTTTTACTGTTTTCACATTAAGGTTTTTATTGCTGCTAATAATGATCATGTTCTCTACGTTATTAATATCAATATCTATTGGGAGATTATGAGAATTTAAAAACCTTTAAACAATAAGGTGAACTTGATAAGATTTTTATCCCTTTAAAAATAACTCAAACAATGACATAGTCCTGAGTTTTTAAAAAAGCAGCTCAGCTTAGATCCGTCAGGTTAGAGGGATTTTCCTTTGAGAAGAACTGCAGCAGGTGAGTCAGTGAGAATATCGGCAAGAATACATACTTAGGAAAAGTTTATGGAAATATTATGCAAATAAAGTGTGGAGTGGAACACCCCACACTTCCCCAGCTGAAGAGACGCAGTAGTTCACAACATCGGGGGGGGGGACTGACTGATAGCGCTATAGTTGGATTGAAATGAGAGTGTGAATGTCAGGCCCTTTGCAGGACAGGAGCTGAGGTTGAACCACTGCTCTCACACAGCAGAGCGCCAGAAAGAGCAGCCGCCAAGCTCACCTGCAGGAAAACATGCCCAGGCCTTAAAATCCACAGCGCCGATCATTGCCTTTACCCCTAATGGAACACAATTAAAGAGCATGAGTTAAAAACCCTCATCTTTCAGGTTATGGAGCTCCTCTCACTAACATGTTGTATAAAATCTGTAAGTCGTGAGGCAGCTCTGGAGGAGCAGTGGCAAGCTGAAACATGTAGCCACCATACATTTGCTGAAGCATGGTGCAATGCTCATTCAGAGCAGTTTTGTATGTAGAGGGGCTTAAACACACACTTTCTTCTGACTGTCAAACACATAACAGTGACACCACACTGAGCCTCAGCTTCAGTTTCCAGTTTTTAGAGCGGTCTGGCTGCAGGCCTGCACAATGAGGTCACCTGCACTGTTAGTACCAGAAGTTCATTCCCAACGTTTTTTATGTAGCCTTCAGGAAAGGCGCGTAGCACGTATGAGCTGCCTGATTTTATTAGAGGAAGAAAAATGCTGAGGCCATTTCTCAATCTGTGTACTTGTGTGTTCTCGTGCGCTTGTGAAACGTCATTATCCTCAGCCCTAGTACTGTTCCAATTCACCAGAACAGCAGACCTAGAACGAACAAAGTCCCCGGATGTTGTTCTCTCCCCTCCCTCTTTACCCAGCATGCATCAGAGCGGACTTGTCCGTTTTCCAGAGCTGACCAAGCATGCACTGAGGCAACAGCAGCTTCCACCCGATCTGGATCTGCAGCACCATCCGTTAGCCCATCTGTAGCAGTCATGGCTAATGTTAGCCATCTGCAGTAGCCTGTGCTAACATTAGCCATCTGCAGCAGCCAGGGCTAACATTAGCCATCTGCAGGAGCCAGGGCTAATGTTAGCCCTCTGCTGCAGCCAGCGCTAATATTAGCCATCAGAAGCAGCCAGGGCTAACCTTAGTCATCTGCAGTGGCCAGGGCTAATGTTAGCCATCTGCAGCAGCCAGGGCTAACATTAGCCATCTGCAGCAGCCAGGGCTAATGTTAGCCAATCTGCAGCAGCCAGGGCTAACATTAGTCATCTGCAGCGGCCAGGGCTACCGTTAGCCAATCTGCAGCAGCCAGGGCTAACATTAGCCAATCTGCAGCAGCCAGGGCTAACATTAGCCATCTGCAGCAGCCAGGGCTAATGTTAGCCAATCTGCAGCAGCCAGGGCTAACATTAGCCATCTGCAGCAGCCAGGGCTAATGTTAGCCAATCTGCAGCAGCCAGGGCTAACATTAGTCATCTGCAGCGGCCAGGGCTACCGTTAGCCAATCTGCAGCAGCCAGGGCTAACATTAGCCATCTGCAGCAGCCAGGGCTAATGTTAGTTATCTGCTGCAGCCAGCGCTAATATGAGCCATCTGCAGGGGCTAATGTTAGCCACCTGCAGCAGCCAGGGCTAACATTAGCCATCTGCAGGAGCCAGGGCTAATGTTAGCCCTCTGCTGCAGCCAGCGCTAATATTAGCCATCAGCAGCAGCAAGGCTAACATTAGCCATCTGTAGGGGCTCATGTTAGCCATCTGCAGCAGCCAGGGCTAACCTTAGTCATCTGCAGTGGCCAGGGCTAACGTTAGCCATCTGCAGCAGCCAGGGCTAACATTAGCCATCTGCAGCAGCCAGGGCTAATGTTAGTTATCTGCTGCAGCCAGCGCTAATATGAGCCATCTGCAGGGGCTAATGTTAGCCATCTGCAGCATCCAGGGCTAACATTAGCCATCTGCAGGAGCCAGGGCTAATGTTAGCCCTCTGCTGCAGCCAGGGCTAATGTTAGCCAATCTGCAGCAGCCAGGGCTAATGTTAGCCTTCTGCACCAGCCTGTTTGCAACGGCCAAGCCTACCGATATTCTGTCGGCAGCATCCAGGGGTAACATTAGCCATCTGCAGGGGCTAATGGTAGCCACCTGCAGCAGTCAGGGCTAACATTATCCATCTGCAGCAGCCACGGCTAACATTAGCCATCTGCAGGGACTAACGTTAGCCATATGCAGCAGCCAGGGCTAACATTAGCCATCTGCAGGGGCCAGGGCTAATGTTAGCCCTCTGCTGCAGCCAGCGCTAATATTAGCCATCAGCAGCAGCCAGGCTAACATTAGCCATCTGCAGGGGCTAACGTTAGCCCGTCTGCAGCAGTCCTCTCTCTGCATAGCCGTGTGTGAAGTACCGCTGGCTCTGATGGCGAGTTTTTTGTTTTATTTGGCTAAATGTTCATTTAATTTGTGTTTATCTGTTCATTATTATTCCTCAACTTAATGAAAAAAGAAAGAATTGATTATTATTTTTTATTAAATAATCAGGATATTATAATAATCAGGAAATTATAATCTTCCTCAGATCAGAGAAGTTGCTTTAGAGTTACTGAAGGCAGCTGCTCACCAACCAGGCTCACATCTTGTTGGAGTGGCCCCGTATCACAGATAGAGAAGCATTTTATACAACTATGATCTGCCACGTCATCATTACATCATTTTTACATTATTCTTACATCATCGTTGCATCATAGCAGATGAGGAGACATCCATGGCTTCAGCCTTGCATGGCTCCTCGCCGCTTAGAAAGATCCACTCTGTCTAAGCGCCACTTCATTCCCAAGTCTCTGTTAGATAATGAAGATGATAACTGGATACCCAGACAGAGGAACTGGCCTAATTAGATAAACTACTGGGGAAAACATGAGTTCTGACACCCAACAGGCAGGGACTATTAGGGTTTAACACATTCACATCATAATAAGGATAAAAACTTTTATTAGCATGCTGTTGATTAAATTAATTGTTTACTGAACTTCATATCATTTTATTTGAAAAACAGTGAAATGTTTTTTTTATCTTATTATTTCATCTTTAGGAAGTGATTTCGAGTTGAAAGGCACCTTTCCCTCACCTGCATGCTAGCTAGTTAGAGGCTCATTGATGCCGTGAGCCTCATTCACACATACTTATCAACCTAGAGTCCTGCAGACTGAAGTTGTACTGAATTTGAATATGCGATGGAGACCCTACCCCCATCTAAAACTCCTGCTGACCCATTGTGTTGTGAGTGTTTTCTTTTTCTTCTTGCCCTTGGCCCTACATGGCCCCTAAGGACCCACCCATGGAGCTGGGATGGAGGTGTTGTTGGGTCAGTCGGGGTGCAGGCATGGGGAGCCACACACAGATCCGTGTTCGCGGATCACTTCACAGGACAATCTCCCTATCCATCTTTTAGGGGTCATTGTAAACCTGCCCTCAGCTGATGAAGGAGTTTCATTCACCAGAAAAAAAACTTTTTTCTCTTTTTTGCTGTGTGGGGAAAGCCCTCACACAGTGTGTATGGGGGATATGTTTTCCTTACCCCGTGGGGACAATTTCCAATGAAATATGTTACATTTTGGGGACTTCTAGGACCAACGAGGAGAGGCTTTCCTCTCAGGGTCTAGGTCTAAGGGGTGAATTGAGTCTAGGTTTACAGTTAGCATGTGTTGCTAATGGTTGGGCCATATAAATGAATGCAATATGAATGAAAGTCAATGGAAAGACCCCAGAAGGATAGTGTAACACAACCTGCGTGTGTGTTTGTAGCTGAAGAGGCTTTAGCACTTTAAAGGTGGTGAAGATAGATGCTTTGACAGCCTGAAAAACACAGTCCTTTCCTGTTTTAATGGATGGACATCAATATTCTATTCAGTTTATTTCTATAGCTCCAATTCACATCATGTCGTCTCAGGTCACTTTCCAGTTCACCAGATCATCCAGTCAGATTAATTCAAAGTTTTCTATCTAAGGAAACCAGCTGATTGCATCGACTCATTGACTCTTCTGCAATCCCTCACACTAAGCATGCTTGTAGCGACAGTGGAGAGGAAAAACTCCCTTTGAACAGGAAGAAACCTCCAGCAGAACCAGGCTCAGTGTGAGCGGCCATCTGCTGAGGCCCACTGGGGTTCAAGGAGACAGATACCCCGTTTACACTACCCTTGAAAAACTGAGCCGAGACCGGTCCGAGCTCAGTAACTGAGATAACTTGTCGTGTGTGAACGGAAACAACCTGAACTGAACCGAGATAGACATAACCGGACCGCGCTAACTGCAGACCAGTTCCCGAGGTGGGTTCGGCTGGGTTTTTTCCTGGCTCGGTTCTCTGATAACAAGAGCGCATGAGCAGAACGCGTCATCGCCGACTGGCTGAACATGCCGATTCACACTCCATTCCAGTAGTTGGCGGTAATGCCCCACCGGAAGTTGCTTGCCAACAAACACAATACAGAAGAAGAAGAACAAGTATAAACAACAGAGATCTTCTCCACGCAACATTTTCAATAATGGCTTCAAAAGAGCGTGGTGCGACCTGGGATGACGCCGAGACTGAGGCCGTTATTGCTATATGGGCAGAGGACGCTATCCAGGCGATGTTGGAGGGCGCGAAACACAACCACAAAGTGTTTAAAAAGATTTCGGACGAAATCACGGTAAAGGGATACGACCGAGACCCGAAGCAGTGCCGAGAAAAGATAAAAAAACTTCGAACACATTATAAGAAGATTGTCGACCACAATAACATGTCGGGGCAGGCGCGCTGGAAGCTGTTTCAAGCGAGGGGGGCTGATGGCTGGGTTGGAAAACACATGACGTCATTATGTTGAGGGCTGTGGCTGACGTTTTTAACATAATATTGTAGGCCTACATTTGTCGCCAAAAACTGCCATTTAAAATGCATGAACATTTTAAACTTTATTTCTTCTCTTTTAATCATTCAAAACAAACAACAGCTCCCAATCAACAGGATCAGGAATACTTGAATAAAACATGGCCTAAATATCGCCTAAACTAAGCATTGAACGTCTTGAAAGTCCATTCGACTATGGATATGGGGAATGATTTCATATCTGAAACAAAAAACACACACAAAAAAAAAAAAAAAAAATTAACTAATTTCATATTTTATCACTAAATAGCTTAATACAGACATAATATTTAGTGATATGCAGCCTTATTCTAGCGTAGACTTCTTCAGCCACAGGACTAAGATGAATAGGCACATAAATAACGCTAAATGCGGCAGTATAGGGGAATTAAAACCATTTCTTACCTCGAAATAGTCAGAAATACGTTTCTGCTGCCTATTGCTAGCCATGCCTAAACGAATGTGAGGTGGCGGAAGCTTCTGGGAGAGTAGCCTAGTTTTTTATGAAATCTTAAAATAATGAATCATTAGTTTATATCTTATACACAGCCCATTATTTTAATCCCATATCAAACACAGTCTTTTAAGAAATAAATACATAATTAATTTCATGTTTTTAAGTACAATATTATGTTACTCCACAGCCCCCCGACATGGGGGGCTGATGCTATGACGAGGGAGGCTGCAGCCCCCGCAGCACCCCCCTTCCCGTGCCACTGAGTCGGGGAGAGGAAGAAAAACGTGGAAGTTCTACGGTGCCATGGATGAAGTGCTGGGCCTCCGTGCATCGTCGAGACCTCCAGTACTTATAGAGACCTCTTCTCTAAACCCTGCAGCAACAAGTATGTTACCGAAAATCATTAGTTTTTTATTCTGTTGATCTACTAATCTACTAAGAAATGTCTTTAGCTTTTGTTTCCATTTTAGTGGAAGATGATGCAACACGAGGAGCATGAGTACAGCACGCATGATGGTATGTAGGCTCTACAGCAGCATGTCCACATTTATGCTTCAACAACCTTTGTTTACAGTATCAGTGTTAAAATTACAAATCTGCTGCCATTAAAAAATGTGTTCAATTTAATCTTCATATCTTTCTCTATCAAATTGAGATCTTTGTTTACTCTTGTAATACGGCATTAAAAGTAGCTGTAGCTCTACATGTAAATTTGAGGGTGCATGTATTTCAGATTCAATATTTATCTATTTTCTTTGTTCTTGTTTGTTGTTTATTGCAGAGATGGATGATGAGCGGTCTTTGAACGAATCTATAGCAAGTTGTGTTTCTGAGGAGCCAGGAGGAAGTCGCATTCCTGAAGGTCCTGGCGATGATACTCCTGCTGCCAAGGCTCCTGAATCATCTGTTAAACGCAAGAGGAAGAGCAAAACCGTAAAAGCTATTGACTCTACAATAGAGGAATACATTAAAGCTCAAAAACAGTCTGATGACCTTTGGCTGGCAGCATTTAAAGAACATGAGGAGTCAATCCAACGACATCAGCGCCACATGATGCAGGAAATGGAAAGGAACCGATTTCAGGTAAAAATGCATTTCTTTAATTAATCAGAAAATGAAATGTACATTTGACATTTACATAAATTGTTTTTTTTTTTTTAAACAGGCTGAAGAGAAACAGAGGGAACACGAGATGCGGATGATGCAGATGATGGTCCAGTTGTTGACTCAACCAGCACAATTACAACCTCTGAACCCTGCGTCCCCTTCGACTTCTGTGCCAAATTTTTCGACTTATGGACCTTATCAATAACTGAAAAATATTGTAAAATATGTAAATTTTTTTATTGTTTTACAAATGTACAATACATAACATGTTTATACAAAAATTGTTGTTGTTACTGACTTTTTCAAAATATACACCACACTAGTAATTGCAAAATTATGTAAAACTAAACTGTAAGAAATTATTTAAAATACATAACATTTAAGTCGATGTAGGCTAATTTTGCTCTGCAAAGTAACGGCAGAGAGCATTTCTTATATTGTGGGCATTGTTAATATCAGGATTGTTATCTCCATCAACCAAATTGTTCCTAGGTGGCTGATTTGCCTCATTGGCCCACTGATCAAGGAAATCCCCTCCTTGCATCTCACAGATATTGTGTAGGGTACAGCAAGCAGCGATGACATTTGGAACATTTGATGTCTTGTTGTCAACTCGTTTCAAAAGCCTTCTCCATCTCCCTTTTAGCCGCCCAAAAGCGTTCTCTACCACCATCCTGTTACGGCTATGGATGTGGTTGTATTTTTTTTGGCTTCTGTTGTCCCTGCATTTTCTGGATAAGGCTTCATCAGCCAGGGTAAGAGAGGGTATGCTGGATCGCCAAGTATAACGGGAGGCACCATCACACCATCAATTTCTGTTTGAAGATGGGGGAAAACACCATTTTCTCAAATCTGGTATAGACGGGAGTTGACTAAAACACGAGCATCATGAGTGCTTCCTGGCCATCCAATACAGAGATCTCTAAACATATACCTGTCATCTACAAGCGCTTGCATATTAATGCTATACCAGCCCTTTCTATTAAAATAATCAACTCGGCTCTCCTTGGGGGCGACAATGGGTATGTGTGAGCCATCAATAGCACCTATGCAAGTCGGATATCCCCATTTTTCTTTAAATGACTCCATCATATTTCTAGCCTCTATATCAGTGGGGAGCTTTATGAACTGTGGTGTCAGATGAAAAAATATTGCTTCACAAACATCCTTGACAAACATGCACAGTGAGGCTCTGGATATTCCGAAAAGGTGAGCAATGGTCCGATAATCTGATGTGGTTCCAAGAAACCACAAGACAGCACCAACTTTCTGCTCCACAGGAATAGGCTGTCGCATCTTCGTTTCTGCCTTGGAGACATGAGGCCTGAGCGACTCACAAAGCCATTTGAAGGTTCTGTAGCTCATTCTGAAAAAAAAAGAAGAAATTTCACAATATTTTTGCATTTATTATACGCAGTGCTTTGTCGTTTTTCACTTTATTAATTCAGAAATCAAAACAAATAATGGTTTCATTCATCGCATTGCTCTTCAGGAAAAAAATGGGTCTATCAGTTGAAGTATTAATAACCCTTATTTAAAAAATGGGAAAGAAAATCAGCTTTTTTTTGTAATTACCTGAAGTTTTCGATCCATTGCTGAGGGTTGAATGTCTCTCGTACTATATAAAGCCACCAGTGTTCGCTCCGCTCTCTCATCCAAACCCTTGTGTAAGCACAACAAAAATAAGGGAGACTTAAAAAAAAGCGAAATAATACATCTCAAATGCGGACAGTTAATGGAAAGAACAGGTAACAAGTATACTAGCTTCCCTACCGTTCCACACGGTTTCCAGTGATTACTCGGCTCAGCAGTGTGATGAACCTCAGGGTCCGTCGCTGTTTCCGGCGTCTGTAAATCTGGAGTAGACGATAATTTCCCTGATCCACTTCCCAAAAGCCGACTTTCTCAAGTACATCCGCGCAAGGTTGCCGTCTTCGCCTGACCCACCGCAAACACCGAAGTACAGCAATAATAATCAAGCATAACTTTCTGAATGTGACGGGCACCGCCATTTTGATTTGCTTGATTCCCTCCTCCTTCGTCTTCTTCTTCTTGGGTTTTACGGCGGTTGACAAACAGCGTTTGGTGCATTACCGCCACCAGCTGCTTGAGTCCCTCCTTCAATCCTAGCAGTAATACCGCACATCGTCACTAGGAGGCGAGGAGTCGAGATAACCGAGATAAGTGTGACGTGTGAACGGTCGTCAAATCTGAGCTTGGCCTGGTTACCGATCCAGGCTCGGACCGGTCTCGGCCTGGATCGGTTTTTCAAGGGTAGTGTAAATGGGGCAAGAAGCAGACATAGAAAAAGAAGCATAGAAACAAAAGGCAACTGTCAACCAGCTCCACAGGCGGCCCCGTCCAGGAAACACACAGCCAGGCAGACGAGCTCCGAGCCAGCTCCCATGTCAGAGGATGAAGAGAGCACATCCAGTTAGTCACAGTCAGAGAAACAGGACCACACTGGAAAACAGGCCAAGCTCCAACATCTAGAAACAAAGGTGTTGATGGCAGCAGCACAGCTGATATTTCTCTCCAGGATGGAGTCACAGCCAAACAGGAACAGACCAGATGAAGCTACTATGAGAAAAAGCAGAGAGAGCAGAACGTTAGAGATTGAACTAACAGATTCTGCAGAGTGGGAGAATAGAGATAGAATGAAGCAGAATGATGAAAAAGAGGTCCCTATGTCCTCCAGCAGTCTAAGCCTATAGCAGCATAACTATAGAGATAGCTCAGGATAACCTGAGCCACTCTAACTAGAAGCTTTATCAAAAGGAAAGTTTTAAGCCTAGCCTTAAAAGTAGACAGGGTGTCTGCCTCACGGACTAAAACTGGTAGTTGGTTCCACAGGAGAGGAGCCTGATAACTAAAAGATCTGCCTCCCATTCTACTTTTAGAAATTCTAGGAACCACTAGTAAACCACTACTTAGTTCCACAGGTGAGTAACATAAAAAATCGGTTTTAACTTGGAAAACACGTTTATAACATTATAAGAAATCTTTCCTCCACTGGCACCACAAGTTCTATGTGAAAACTAAAGGTGCTAAGACTCTGAATAAACTGCAAATATAGATAATAAATGGATAAAAAGAGAAGAGTTGAGGAGAACCAACTGTTTCAGCTCACCTACAGATAGAGAACAGGGATTAAACTACAACTGGGGGAGAAATTACACCTTAAAAAAAAAAAAATCATCAGATTTCCTAAATGGATCCAGCATGAACCCATTTGGATGTTTCCCACGTGGAACCCCAGGGTGGCTCACTTTTTCTTTTACTCGTTACACACCCTATGGTATGTACCAGTGAATGAGATTGCTGCAAAATAAAGAAAAGAATGCAAGCAACCGTGCACTGCCTCTACATGCTGATCCAGGAGTGAATCTTGCAGAGTCAACGACTGGCTGCAGTCAATCTGCCTGTCATCTCCGTCCGTCTGATAAATATCATTATATGAATCATCTCAGTTAAATTGAATTTATTTTTTGGTTTGCACTTCTGTAGGAAAGAATGTGAGCCCAAGATTCCACCAAAAGCAGACGGTTGTCTGAATTTCGTAGATGAAGAGGTTTCTCCCTCCATGCCTGAAGAAGACAGAATAAAACCACAGTGCCAGTCAGAGCAGATCCCCGTCAGACGTCTACCTGTTGTGTCTTAGCATGTTGAATATTATTCATTGTAATGTGTTTACTATGTTGTGGTCGCTTCACAGGTCTGCCTTAATACCGCAGCAGCTGATCCAGAACGCCTGCGTCCTCACTAGAAATAAGAAAGTGGAGAACATCAGCCCAGTTCTAAAGCCCTTCCATCGCCTCGCTGTTTAATATGCCTCTGTTAAACCTCTTTCCCAACCGCTAATCGGCATTAGGATGCTGCGTGTTTGGTGACATCATGATGATACCTTTGCGTTGATGATGTCACCAGTGCAACAGAAATCAGGAAAGTAAACAACAGAGAGCAATGTGGTAGTCAGTGTGTTTTATTGTTTCTCTCTGTTATCTGTCTGAATCCATCTCACCTGTTGCTCCATATTTATTCAATGGAAACAGAGTTGATTCTGCTTTTTAGATCAGAAGCGACTGGCGCGGCGTGTTGGCGTCTGTATGTTGCGTTCAGTGGTATCACGTAATTTAGTGGGTGATGTTGGTGTTCTCACAACATCCCTATCAGAGCCGAGGCGATTTTAACGCGGGTCTTTTGACATAGTTGAGCTGTTACCACTGCCACTAAAAGCCCATTGTTCCCGGGTTTAAACAAGCTTTTCGGCCAGTGGGAAAGGAGTATAAGTCTATCGTATTAGTGCTTATAGAAACAGGAGTATTTGTGTGTAATAGTATGTTAAGGTACATGATGGACCTAAATGGGTTGCTAAATTACTATTATATGAGCTACTGTGGGTTCATATCACTGTCGCCCTATAGTTCAACATTGTCCTGCGATCAGAGTTAAGCCTGGTGTGCACTGTGCGATTTTTTTAAATCTTTGCACGCATCTGCTGCTCACACTGTACAACTCCAATTCACATCATGTCATCTCAGGTCACTTTCCAGTTCACCAGATCATCCAGTCAGATTGATTCAAAGTTTTCTATCTAATTGGCATTTCAGCAATCTCTCACACTCACAGGAGGAAAATGAAAAAGAGAGATCACATCTCTCCTATCCTGGCTTCTCTTCATTGGCTTCCTGTTAAATCCAGAATAGAATTTAAAATGCTCCTTTTCACATATAAAGCCTTAAATGGCCAAGCTCCATCTGATATCAGAGATCTGATTGTTCCTTATGTTCCTAACAGAGCACTTCGCTCCCAATCTGCAGGTTTACTAGTGGTTCCTAGAATTTCTAAAAGTAGAATGGGAGGCAGATCTTTTAGTTATCAGGCTCCTCTCCTGTGGAACCAACTACCAGTTTTAGTCCGTGAGGCAGACACCCTGTCTACTTTTAAGGCTAGGCTTAAAACTTTCCTTTTTGATAAAGCTTCTAGTTAGAGTGGCTCAGGTTATCCTGAGCTATCTCTATAGTTCTGCTGCTATAGGCTTAGACTGCTGGAGGACATAGGGACCCCTTTTTCATCCTGCTTTATTCTATATAGTTAGTGTGAGGGATTGCTGAAGAGTCAATGAGTCGATGCAATCAGCAGGTTTTCCTTAGATAGAAAACTTTGAATCAATCTGACTGGATGATCTGGTGAAATGGAAAGTGACCTGAGATGACATGATGTGAATTGGAGCTATAGAAACAAACTGAATTGAATTACTGGTTATTTCAACAGAAGACTGAAGAGATTTTAATTTAGTTTGGATGCTTTTAAGTAACTGTTTTGGTCACTCTGGTGACAAATAAATACATAAAGTAGCCAAAGTTAATTTCTAAAGACACAGTGGAACTGAGACGCAGCAGTTTAACATCTTTTGACATAAAAACGTCAAAGTTTATATAGAAAGCTACACCTTTGACATGGATCTATTTTTTAATACTTGTGTGATCAAAGTTTTCAATCTGGCTGTTGCTGTTGTTCTAAACTTTCCCTGTCCCTTTAAATATTCCTCTGCTGTTACCATAACGGTGCTAGAAGAGGCTCACTCCAAAAGTCACATGCTCCTGCTTCCTTTGTTTCCCACAGAAACACTATCCATCTGAGCATGAGGGGGGAATGTGTGACAGTGCTGCTCTAAGGAGGTTCTTTTAATAACAACATCAGATGGAAAACTAAAATGATTTAGTCATATTTGAAGTTTTAATGTATGCCAACACAATTTGGAAATGTTGGCCTTTTTAACAGTTTAAGAAATGTCAGAAAGATACAATTAAATCTCCAAATTTAAGCTAAGTTAAATTCTTCAGATTGTCTCTGATATTGCAGTGGTCTTCAGAATGTTTACCCTAAATATAGCAGCACTGGGACATAAAAAACAATGTTTACCACACACAGGAGCTTTATTTCAAACAAAATGTGAAAAATCAGATTAACTGAAAGGATTTGGGGAAGGGATCGCTGCGCTGCTTCTACTAATTGGTCATTTAAATGTCTTCACTAGGTGTATATATACAATTTTGTTTACTCTATAGACTCCACAGGATCAACAAAGTCAAACTCTGCTCTGAAAGTTGGTAAAGCTTGGTTCAGGCATTACGGTAAAGCCCACAGCCCAAAGAGGAATTCCTGGAATGTGAAAAGCTCTCATTCATATTGAGAGTAGATTGAAACGTTCTGAATTTACACGTGTAAAAAGTGAATGTGAGCAGATAAATGTGAGCCACATTGGAGATGGAGGCTGGATTGATGTGTATGAAGCTCTAAATGTCAGACTTTACGGCCTTTTGCCGTCCACTGCGGCATCCTTTGTTGGGTTTAAAAGGTTGTGTGATTGTGGATGAATAAAGCAGCGCTTGTTGCCTTTATCTAATAGTTTTATTTGCAAGTATTTGTGCCGAACGACTTTGATGGGGCGGTCAAAGACAATGTCAACTTTTGCAGTGCATTGAACTTTTCCCCACATAAAAAAGTTACAGCAACAGTAATATTCTGCCTAGTAACAGAAATTCTTCCTATTGGTCCAGCTCCAGTCTCCTCCTGTATGTGTCTGTGCATGTGTGTGTGGGTGTGTGTGTGCAGGAAAGTCTTTTATTTCACTGGAAGTTTTAGAGTTTTCCTCATTGATTTGTAGATAGAGCAGTTTAATGTTAAATGAGTAGCTGGGTGAATAGTTAACCTAGCAGCAAACCTGATCAATGGAGTTTAGGTATAAACAGATATAATGGAGCAGAGGCCTATAGCTGGGAGTGCAGACCCCTGGTTTAAACACAGACTCTCTGAATGTCAGACCCAGAATGTTCTGTGGGTTTTAACTGCTGCATGAGGAGCGGTTTGCTGCACAGCTGCAATAAGAAGCAAACGAGGCTCCAGCTGCATGCTGGCTCGGGTACACGCTTGTTAATGGAGTAATAAACACTCGGTTGAGTTCATAGGTGGATGGATGGGGTGGTGTCACTGACTGAACTCTCAGTGCAACAATATTCATCCTGCTGCCGATATGTGGAGTAAATAGGATGAATGAATGCGGCAGTGTTTCCCTGTCCCCCATGTGCTCACCTCATGTTTGCTCACAAAGCTGCTGCCTTCATTCAGCGGAGGAAGCGCTGCTATCGCCCCCTACCGGCGCACAGCCGGCAGGCCCCTCCAGCAGCGGCCATGCAGGCGGTAGGGGTCTTCCCCCTTCCGTCTCTCTATAGGTCTACATCTATGTATATAACACAATCCTTCCTCGCGCACATTGCTTTGATCCCCCCTCCCTATTTAACAAGAGTGACGTCACCGCACGTATCAGCGCCTCCTCCTGGAAGTGAAGCCTGTGTGTGCGGCCGTGCCCGCGCGCGCGCTGCTCGGGGAGCGCGGGGCAGGGGTTTTTTGTCTCGCGGACCGAAGCGGTCTGTTCCTCAGAAGGCTCGCGCACACCGAGGGAGCAGCAGCGCGAGGCAGCGAGCAGAACAAAGGGATTTAACTCCGCCGCCTCCCGTGTTTGGCCCGGACCGTCCAGCCCTCCTTTAGCCCTGGTACCATGGAGGAGCAGCTGCTGTGCTGCGAGGTGGACTCGATCAGGAGAGCCTACCAGGACGAGAACCTCCTGAATGACCGAGTCCTCCAGACCATGCTGAAGGCGGAGGAGAACTACCTACCGGCCCCCAACTACTTTAAATGTGTTCAGAAGGAGATTGTTCCCAAAATGAGGAAAATACTGGCCACCTGGATGTTGGAGGTTAGTTTTTAGTTCAGCTTCTAACCGATGGCAGCTTTCGCAGTGTGAGGAAATAAAGAGTGAAGGAGAGAGAATGTTGGTGTTCGAGGCTACCGCAGCAGCCGCTGCTCCTGCAGCGCTTAGACCTCCGCTCCTCTCATCCATTTCTACTCAACTTATTACAAAGTACAGCTTATTTTATGCCATTAATTTCTTCAGAGGGAATTATTTCCTCCTAAATAACACCAATGTACACGTATGCAGTGTGGCCCGTGCCAGAAGCCTGCTCTGCGCCATCTTGTTGACGCGCACGGAGATAATTTTAATATAATAAAAAATGTAGAAAGTGAAGAGGGGTGACAGTGGGCCGATAAAATGCAGAATAAATGTTTTTGCAGGCTGGGCTCGTGCTTTGCTGTGTGCGTGTCGTCATTTTCCAGACATTAACCGCTAAAGTTGGGCTTCCGATCGGCGCAGCCTGGAAGCTTTCTGCGGATAAAACGCGTTTTTTCATCGATCCGACAGAAAAAGTGCGACGGGAAGCGTCGGCTTTGGTTCCTGATGCCTTATTACACATTTACATCCACTTTGGGATGAAGTTTTTGGCCTCTTTGTATTTTTAAATAATTTTTAAAGCGGCGTATCGCGGAGGACTCGCTCGCAGCGCGTGAAGCGCCTTTATGGCAGAAATATTTTTTAAAATTCCATTTTGGTCTCTTTCTGGACTTTTTTCGCCCAGCATGATCAGGCTTTCGATGAGGATCGTTTCCATGCCTTTTTTAACCGCCTTAGTAATTTTTAAATATTTCTAATTATTTTTTGAAAAGATGACGAAGTTGAAATTAGAGTGAAACTTGCTTCTACGCCACCTTTGTGTCTCTGCCAGAACTGTACTCACTAATGATCATTTTCTCTCTTCTAAAGTTCTACATTAATCGCTCATAAACAACCTGTTGGTATTTTAACTTTTATCTTTTTTATTTTGAATTTAGATTTGATGATTTTTATCCAACTGTGACTTTTAATTTCTCTATTTTAATTTCTCTATGCTAGTGACGTTTAATTTCCTTAAACCTCCCTGATCTGACCGGTTTAATGTTGTGGGAAATGTTGCTGCTCCTAACGCGCTCCTCTCTCCTCCCCAGGTCTGTGAGGAGCAGAAGTGTGAGGAGGAGGTTTTTCCGCTGGCGATGAACTATTTAGACCGATTCTTATCGGTGGAGGCCACCAGGAAGAGCAGGCTGCAGCTGCTTGGAGCGACCTGCATGTTTCTAGCATCCAAGATGAAGGAGACGGTCCCTCTGACTGCAGAGAAGCTCTGCATCTACACGGACAAGTCGGTGCTACCAGGAGAGCTGCTGGTAATCATCACTAATGCCAGAATATGAACAGCGTGGGAGGAAACCCGCGTGGGGAGATGTTTGAAGGCCTTTGCGGTTTATCAGAAATCTAAAGAAAGCGATCATTCAGGCTACTAACTAGTGGGAGTTCATGGTCTTTCCCATGGAGACCATCAGCTCACATTTTATGAATGGACTCTGAACATACCTTCAAAAGAAGGGCTCACAGCGACACCCAGTGGCCGCTTGGTAACGATGCAGCCAATGGAAAAGTTTCCCCATCAGCTCAGCTGTGCTGGTTTAGGATGGAGAGTTAGGCCCCAGCTTTTAAACACAACAATAAAATCATAACATTATGAAAATAATGCGGTTTTATTACAAGGTTGTAATGCATACATTTCTGCACAGGGAGATCAATAGAGTCATAATATTATCAGAATAAAGTCATAAAATTACTTGACTAAAGATGAAATATTCGGAGAATAAAGTCATCATAGCAGAACTCATTTCACACAGAACTTAATACTGATAAAAGTTCTAATACTGATAATAATTTGATGCTAAAATACTTATTACTAATATTTCCTTATCTATGGAACCAAAGTATAACTTAACAAGATGCTCAAAGTTCCTCTTTTTAGGGAAGATAGAGCTTCCTGTAAGAGTTTTTATAAAATACGACTTTATTGTCATAATATTACGACTTTATTCTAATAATATTGCAACTTTATAATGATACTATATTATTCTCATAATTTAAAGACTTTATTCTTGTATTAAAAATAAAAAATCATGCCTTGCCCTAATTTCCTGTCATACTGATTTGATATAAAACCTTGAGTCTATATTAGAAATGAGGATAATTTGTAAAAAAAAAAAAAAAAAAGGGAGAATATGGCAGCTGAAGGCGTTGCTATGGAAACATGTATTAATCCATGAGAGTCTGTCTCTGACGGAAAGCGTTGCTTCTGTCCACAGCAAATGGAGCTGCTGGTTCTGGGTAAACTGAAGTGGGATCTGGCTTCAGTCACTCCTCATGACTTCATCGAGCACTTCCTGTCCAAGCTGAAGATCCACCCGTCCACCAAGCAGATCCTCAGGAAACACGCCCAGACCTTCGTGGCGCTCTGTGCAACAGGTTGGACATCGCTGTCACCTTCTGATGGACCTGCTTGGTTTTTGTTCCTAAATGTTGCTGAATGATTCTGATTTTTATTTGGGTTTTTTTTTTCTCCAGATGTTAACTTTATCGCCAGTCCTCCATCGATGGTGGCAGCAGGAAGCGTAGTGGCCGCGGTTCAAGGCCTCTACCTGAAGAGCCAAGACACGTCCCTGTCCTCAGCCAACCTCACCAACTTCCTGTCTCAGGTCATCCGCAGCGACCCGGTAAGAAGCCCCGCCCCCTCCATATCCAGTTTATCTATCCTGTTGGAGGTGTAACTGACCTGTCCTCCCCCCCCAGGACTGCCTGCGGTCATGCCAAGAGCAGATCGAGTCCCTGCTGGAGTCCAGCCTGCGCCAGGCCCAGCAACACAGCGGCGCTGTGGAAACCAAACGCATGGACGAGGAAGCTGACCTGTCCTGCACGCCCACGGACGTCAGAGACGTCAACATCTGAGGAAGCTCCGCCAACCATTTCTCACGATAAACCTGTCGATCAAGGAGATGCGTGTGTCGGACAACACAGCGGACGGGTCAGGGAGGGGCGCTCCGTCCCCGCGTGCACATCCTCCGCCTTCTCCTGCTTCCTGGTTGGCTGCCATCGCAGCCTCTGACTCCAATCACCTGCCTGCTGTCTGTAATGGCTGCCGGTAGCAGACAAAGCGTCCCGCTGCCATGCAGCACGTCTCCTGCCAGTGACCCCTCCCCCCCTTAAGGAAAGGACGCTACCTGAGAGAACAGATGCTAAACATGGATCTCCTGTGAGCTGGAGATTAAGCTAAAGGAGTTTAGAGGATAGTTGTCTTTTTTTTTCTTATGTAATAAACTAGGAATCTTTAAATGCTTCAGATCAGACCGTCAGTCTGCTCCTGAAATCTGACTTTTATTAAAACAAAAGCTGTTTTACTTTCTTTTCCTTCCCCTCTGTCTTATATATAGAACCACTTTAGTCCATCTCTCCCAGTTCTTACATTTGCTTGTTTTGTCACTTTATTATTTTAGTCTTATTCTTCTTCTGTTCCATATTCCTGGTTGGATTCCGTAAAGCCAGCATAAAGAGCCACATTGGTGTTTTGAAGCTAGCAGCTGCTGATGTGGACAGATAGAAAGCTTTGTTCACTCCTCCACAGCATCAATTCATTCACTTGGTTGTTAGAATGGAACATCAGAGGGGCGCCTCTGACGAGTCCGTCTTCATTTTACCAGTGGTTTTACTTTCCTACAAAAAGCACTTTTGGTCAGTAATGCTGGCTCAAATGAAAAAGAAAATCTCACATCCATAAAGTTTTTAACATAAACACACCATATATGGAGATCTATATATATGAAAGGAATGATGGGTGTGTTGATGAGCTGGAATCTTTTGGACGAACAGATGAAGAAAAGTTTTTGCACCCATTGAGGCAAAGAGTTGACGAGCGGCTCCCACACAGAAGGTTGACTTGTCTGAAAAGTTGTGGGTCAAAGTCTGATGCTACGTTTCTGTATTTATATGCAGAAATGATTCCGATTACTTCAAACAATCCCAGCTAAACATCAAAAAGTTAATCTTTTATCTACCTGCGGGGCAGAAAAAGCTAAACGTCCATCGTGCCTCCCGGTCCCCAGAACACGTCCCACTAACCCAACAGATGCTAAGGGAAAGATTTCTGCTCATGGCTTCCAGGAAATGGATCAAGCGGAGAAACGAGGAGTGATGAGACAATTGACATGATTTTGCACAAACCAGAATGACACGGGAAGAGAGGGAGAAGTTGGCGAGCGTACCGAGGCTTGAAAAGGGTGAAGATCACCACAAGGTGTGTCTGATCAGCCGTAGAGTTAAAGTCAGGGTTCCTGCACGGGAGGGACGGGGTGTGGTGCGGGATCTCTATGCTAGGTTTCTGATTGTACATTACACATAGAAAGTAGGAGAACAACACTCCTTTTATTCTGCTGCTATAAAAAAATAAATCCCACATACATGTTAAAAAAAGTAAAAGATGTTAAAAAAGAAGTGGATGAAAACAATGCTTTGTTGTTTTTTGTTATTGTTTGCTGCTATGTTTTGATCGTTTTTATTTTATACACATAAATGTCAATATTGCGCCATTCTGGGTTGGAATTTTCTCATAGAAAATTGTTATTGACATCCTCATTTGTTGTTTTGTGTAGAATATATATATGCTCCTTTTTTTATAATTACTTTATATAATTCCACAAACTATTGTCAAAAAAAAGAAAAACAAGGAAAAATTAGATATATAGACGTGTTTGATCCACTATACCTCATGTGACAGTCAAGATCTATCTCTGACTTTTAGTCTTTTTCTTTGTTAATTTTTTTAGTCCTTATTCTATTTGCCTGTTGGATCAGTGCCTACCAGCTCTGTTAAACCCGAAGCATCCATTAGTCCAGGGCATGCTTTCATACTGGTGCCATAACAGAAAATGGGATATCTATTACTCTGTCGAGTGTTAAGCTGTCTCGGTAAAAAGAGACTTTATCCCCTTTACGCCCATTCTGGCCTTTCTTCCTCCCCCTTTTTATATTTATACAAAAAGAAAGGCTTTGTGCTCCAATATTTGAACTGTTGATGCGTTGGTTTGAGTTTGTAAATCGATTCGGTGTCATGCTCAGTAAGCCATAGACCTCTTGTTGTTTTCATAAAAATTACTCCACTTTACGGCAACGAACCGTGTGCTCATCTTTGTGCTGACTACACAATAAAGACATTGATTAGATGGAGTCTTATAAACTTCCTGTGTGCTTTATTTTATTTATCCAGTGTTTTATTGTCTTTACACTGTCACAAGTACATTGCAACGAAATGAAACCCATCCCGTTTGGAAGCAGGAGGCTGCCATTGCGCGGCACCAAGGGAGCAGTGTGGGGTTAAAGCTTGGTTTATGCTCAGAAACCAGGTCGTCTGTGTGTTTGTCGCAGTTTACGCAGATATGACCGCAGACAGTGCCACAGACAGGAGGCCTCTGATTGGTCAGTTCTAAATCCGCTCTACACTATGTGTATTTCCCTTTTGGTACCTAATGGCAGAAACTGCTTTAAAGCTGTAGGGCCATCCACAGCGACCGGCACACTTCGGACACTAACCGAGACACTGTACCGGACGCTAGTTTGTAGCTAGCGTAACACACAGCTCCATGGCCAGTCTTTGGGGAACACTCACGGGTGAACTGTCCGGCGTTGGATAAGGGGTTGTAGATGGCGAACAAGCACGTCAAACCGACACACGGACACCCACAACACTAGCTAGTTCCTGATTGTCCCTCTGGCGTTGTGGCGTGAAATAACATAGCGCAGACCACGCTTCAATATTGGCCATAAATCAAAAATATCTGCATCATACCTGCGACAAGCTGCAACACACTGCTGCGGGAGGACAAACATCCCTTAAGGGTCTTTGTTCAGGGACCCAGAGTGGCAGTCTGTGGGAGTGAGCTCAAACTCAGAAATTGAGGATTTTAAGCGCTATGTCCGAACCACTAGGCCACCATTCCCCAAAGCAGGCATTCAGGGTAACCTTATTCCACGCCACCACGCAAGAGGGCCAAACAGGAACTAGCTGTGGGTCTAGATATGGCCGAGGCGGTGAGGAAGTGGGGTCAAGTATGTGCGACAACAGAGGGATATGAGGGCCAAAAAGAGCGGGGATCCAGCTGGAAAAACGGTACCAACGTTCTCACGCACCTCGCTCTTCTAGCTAGTCCATTTTCACCAGTCGTTTTCTAAAATGGCCGTCATACAAACAAAACAAGCCGGTAAGGAACCAAACAGGAAAAACGTATAGAGTAGAGCGGATGTAGATCTGACCTATCAGAGGCCTCCTGTCTCAGTCTCCCCAGTCACCTACAATTTTGGAGAGTCTGGGGAAGGGGTGGGACATATCTGCAAACACTGCGACACACAAGCAGACGACCTTGTTTCTGAGTATAAATCAGCCTTTAGCGTGAATGGTCTTGCCTAAGGACCCAAGCCGGGGGCGGGGGGAGAACGAGCCAAGGCTTCCTATTTGCAGGACAGGTGACTTACCACTTGAGCTAGCCAGCCGTTTTACTGGTGGGTCATTAGGCTATTTTCATTAATCTACAGTAATCCCACATTTACAGTTATAAGGTTTGAGAACATTTTCCTGAGCGGCTCTCATAAAGCACATTTTCTCAGCGTGTTTCTGGTTTTCTCAGAAAAGTGGAAATCAGGAGGATAAGTGTCGATTCTAGGCAGCCCTAATATGTTATGATTTATTTAAGGATCTGACCCAAAATGCAGTGAACCACTCAGAGAGCAAGGCAAAGGTTTAAACAGGTTTATTGTGGTAAGGTTTGAGGGGTTGGATCTGGTAGTCAGAGGGCTGGTGAACCAGAACTGGAAGGGAGGAGGGTAGTTCACAGAGGTGGGAAGCTTGGATGCTGTAAGGATAATTCTAGTGAGGGACTCACATTTTGGAGGGTTCTTCTCTAGCTTCAAATGCAGTCTGTGTGGGTTGCCCTAGTGAAGAGGGGACTCATTGGGGTGAGAACAGGTAGACCCTTCGTTGGACCCAGAGGAGTATGAGAGGACTGCCACTCGGAAATCCAGGAGAACTCGAACAGAACTTGTGGAGGTTAATCCCCTGCTCAGTGTGAGACTCAAACAATCCTTCCAGGGGAAGAAGACCAAATAATCCTGCTTGCAGGATGACTTCCCAAAACTGGCAAACACTCTGGCGCCGAGGTAGTGACAGTCCACTACTTAAGTACTCCTCCCGATAATGATCCAATGAGACGCAGGTGTGCAGGGAGTACAAACGAGGATAGGGCGCCACCTGGTGGTGGAGGGAGAGACAGAACAAACAATAGACCACACAAACTGGATTCCTGACATAATAGGCATTGGTCAGCATGCCTGAAAGCCTGGATCCAGCCCTAACCTTGATACATCTGATTGATATGTGTATGTATGTAAGGTATAATTGCTTATTGTCAATAAAAAAATAAACATGTTTTCAATAGCAAGAACAAAAGAAGATTCAGCAGGCTGCTCTCATTAGCAGCCAAAGTTATGATGCTGAAACTTGTTAAATTCCAGGCAGCATATCCTCTAAGAAAACAAAAATAAGGTGGAAGGAACTATTTTAATCATAGTTCATTTCAATTTAACTACAATTTCTAATCAAAGTCGTCTTCATCTGTAATCAGATCAAAGGTAAAGTTGGACAGCCTCCAAGCCTGTGCTTAGAGGAGCTCCATTTACTGACATGAAGGAACCATCTCACAAATGTTCAAACAAAGACTTTTCACATCGTTAAGAACAGTAAACTACGATCTACCTCCTTTGTAAAGAAGCAGTTTTAAGCTGATTACTGTAGAAACTAGCCAGGAACCAACTTGACAATGTTGTGCTCCAGTCGAACTCAGAAGTTGGATTTATGGATTTATGAACAGGACATTGCAACCGGAAAGCTTTCAAAGTTGTAGGTATGACTGTAGGCAGCAGCACAGCTTAGTGTTTTACTGTAAAACCCAAGCAACCGTTTCAGTGAGGGAACAAAATAAAAAAAAAAAACTTCTCTAAATGTTCCAAGACCAGAAGAGACATTTAGGAGTGCTCAAACTTCTTCCAATCTCCACTGACTGTTTCACCCACTTTTAAATAGCTGTATAGAGCGGGACTATATAGTGGACTTTACACCGACTCAGTTAACAGAACGTTTGGATAGATGATCAGTACTCTTAACTCCCTGATGGCAACTTCAAAGAACCAATAAAACCAATTTGACACAATTGGTCAAAACTGGACCCCAGCAGCAGTTTATTTATTTGAAAAGTTTTATGTGGGCGACCTTGAAATCATTACATTAATCATCGGTAATAACGCTTTGGTGTCATGATCTTGGCTCTGATGACAGGCTGGATTACTCATTTCATTCTCCTGCCTAGCTCCGCCAAGTTTCTCATTACCGCTCATCTGAGCCACCTGCTCCAGGTTCTATTTAACCAGCCCTCTAACCGACTCAGTTAACTGAACGTTAGATTATGCCAGATTATTCTCGAGCCTTCGGTGAGATTTCTCTAGCGCAGTTCATAATTACTTACTAATGCCAAGTAAAATGTGACAAAGACAACTATATTACTCATGAAATATTTATTAACAACATATATCAACATCAACGTATCTGACATCTACCAGAATTTGGACAGCTCCACTTATGTCAGCAGATTTGTCTTTTTGTAGGGAAAATCTGCTGCTTGCCTGCAGTTTCTCCTTCAAGTGTTGTTCAATGCCCACAGACATGTCGTAGATTCTTCTCTTGATAATAATATCAGACACCGGCACAGTGGACAGCTCATTTGCGGCATCTGGACCCAGCATGACACCTGCTATCTTTTCCAAGGGGGTAGGATGAAAGCACTGCACAGGGTATTAACATGGGTATTTATTTACATGGGTATTCGCACTCTTAAGCCTCCCTGGTAAGGTCTATTCCGCTGTTCTGGAAAGGAGGGTCCGTCGGATAGTCGAATCTCAGATTCAGGAAGAGCAGTGGGGTTTTCGTCCTGGCCGTGGAACACTGGATCAGCTCTACACCCTCAGCAGGATCCTGGAGGGTGCATGAGTGTTTGCCCAACCAGTCTACATGTGTTTTGTATATCTGAAGAAGGCATTTGATCATGTCCCTCGAGGGGTCCTGTGGGGGGTACTCTGGGAGTATGGAGTAACAGGCCCTTTAATAGGGGCTGTTAGGTCTCTGTATGACCGGTGTCAGAGCCTGCTCCGCATTGCCGGCAGTAAGTCGGACTCGTTTTCGGTGAGGGTTGGACTCCGCCAAAGTTGCTCTTTGTCACCGATTCTGTTCATAATTTTTATAGACAGAATTTCTAGGCGCAGCCAAGGTGTTCAGGGTATCTGTCTTGGTGGCCTTATGATTGCATCTCTGTTATTTGCAGATGATGTGGTTCTATTGGCTTCATCAGGGCGTGATCTACAGCTCTCACTGGAGCAGTTATCAGCTGAGTGTGAACCGGGATGAGGATTAGTGCCTTCAAATCTGAGACCATGGTCTTGAGCCACAAAATTGGTAGAGTGCCTTCTCCGGGTTGGGGAGGATGGACTGCCCCTAGTGGAGGAGTGTAGAGCTGCTGCTCCTCCTCCACATCGAGAGGATGCCAGAGGCATCCTAATCAGGTGCCTCTGGCATCTGATTAGGATACCTCCTGGACGTCTCCCTGGTGAGGTGTTCCAGGCACGTCCCACCTGGAGGAGGCCCAGGGGGAGACCCAGGACACGCTGGACGGACTATGTTTCTTTGCTGGCCTGGGAGCGCCTTGGGATTCCCCCGGAGGAGCTGACCTAAGTGGCTGGGGGGAGGGACGTCTGGGGCTCCCTACTGAAGCTGCTACCATCGACCCCGGATAAGCGGAAGAAGATGGATGGAAGGAGGGTATTTATAGCTAGCAATAGCTATTTTAGCTATTGCGCAAATATAAAAAACATGTATTTCACAGGGTATTAAATGGTAAATGCACATTAAATTTTGTACCAGTTATTGCAGTTGTAGTGTGGCATTGTAGAGTCTGGTTGCAGTAGGGGTGAATGACCTGAGGTGGCGCTCCTTTTTCCAAACACGGTGTAAAAGTCTTTGACTAAAGGAGCTGCTCAGCTCCTCTCCAGTCTGCTGCAGAGTGTGGGAGGTGGTCTCCATGATGGATGGAAGCTTAGACAGTCACTGAGTCCAGAGTGCAGCTCAGGACAGAAACGGCC